CGAAAGTGCTCTTTCAAAAAAAGGCGTTCTTGAATGCCAACAGGGCTTTTTAGAAAGAGAGCATCCAGACGCACTCGCTGCTTTCTTTCGAAAAAGCGGCTTGCTTTTTCGAAAGTACTGCTTGCAGTCTAGATGCTCTTTTTCGAAAGATACTTTCGAAAAAGCCTCTTTCAAAAGAGGCTTGCAGTCTAGACAGCCCAAAAGAGAAGAATGAGGGGGGATTTGATAGCATCCTTCAACTACCTGAAGGGGAGTTCCAAAGAGGATGGAGAGAGACTGTTATAGATGATAGAGTGGCTACAGATGACAAAATGAGATGCAATGGTCTCAAGTTGCAGTGAGGAAGGTCTAGGTTGGATATTAGGAAAAGCTATTTTACTAGGAGGGTGGTAAAGTATCAGAATGGGTTATGTAGGGGAGTGGTGGAATCTCCATCCCTAGTGGTTTTTAAGTCCTCGCTTGACAAAGCCCTGGCTGGAATGATTTAGTGGGCATTGGTCCTGCTTTTAGCAGAGAGTTGGACTCAATGACCCCTTGAGGTCTCTTCCAACCCTATGATTCTATTATTCTAATCCTTTGCTCAAATGCCCACACCCTGCAAGCTAGGTTGTCAATCTGGCTTTTATGTCACCTATACAATGGAAACCACCATCATCAAGGGTTTCAATGACCTCTCCCTGACCAAATCATGGGGCTTCTACTCCATCCTTATCCTCCTGATCTCACTGCATACTATGATTAAATTGATCATATCCTCCTTCATGACATCCTATTTAGTTTTGTCACATAGCATACTTCTGCTACTCCTTCTGCCTCTATAACTGTTCCTTGAGTATGGTCATTAGCTGTTTCTCCTTCTCCATTCTGTGTTTTCCTAAAAGATTATGTGTTTGCTTCCCTCCTGTATACCTTAAATCTGAGCAAACAAGTTCACATGACTTCAGCTATCTCAAAGAGATACCTCAGAAATACAGGAGAGCCAGAGATGGGATACGAAAAATCATTAGAAATAAGGGTGTCTTCCAAATTGAGGAGAGGCTGAAAAGATTAGACTGCCTAATTTAGAAATAAGACAAATAAGATGGAACATCACAGCAGCATGTACAATAATGAAGGGTATAGAGAAGGCAATTTGGGTATTTCTATTAACCTTTTTGCATGCTGCAAATGGGTCTATTACTGAAGCTGGAAGACAACATGTCTACAATTTCTCACAGGAAATACAGTTTGTGCATGATTGTTCCTGTGGAACCCATTGCTGCAAGATATATGGCCCAGTTTAATAGGATTCAGAAAAGGATTAGGCATTTTTATAACATCCAGTTATACTAGTTAAAGTTGGTAAAATACAGCTGAATCCTCATGCTTCTGGGCATAAACAATTACCAGTTCCTTGGGGTTAAGTGAAAGTTTCCTCTCTGGGCAGGTTATTCTATAATTGTCCATTATAGGGTTTCGTACACCTTCCTCTGAAGCATCTGGATCACTGACAAAGAGCACACCAGAGTAGATGTGTGCTTGTCTGATCCAGAATGGTAATTGTTTTGTGCCTTTGCTAGGTTCATAAATCTATAGTCTAGGTCCTACCTCTGCATGGCAGATTGACTGGATGGCCTCTCAAGTTCCTTCCAGAAATATATTTCTATGGTTCTCCACACCTAACTTGTCCCTCTCTGTCCAGTGCTGCATGTCAATGGTTGTGCCAACATTTCTTCCTGAATGTTTCACAGACAGCAAGTTGATCACTGTTATAAAATAACTATATTTTCCATTGTAAACCACGACCAATCAAAGGGTATGTCTACACTACCCCGGTAGTTCGAACTAGGAAGCCTAGTTCGAACTACCTAGTTCGTGCCCCGTGTAGCCACGCTGCACGGGGTTCGAACCAGCGGGGTTTTAAAAATGGCGGCTCCCCGCTTATGCAAATGAAGCCCGGGAAATTCAAATCCCGGGCTTCATTTGCAAGTGCGGTATGCCTACATTACACTCCTAGTTCGAACTAGGAGGGTAGTGTAGACATACCCAGTGACAGTCAACTTCTCACTCTTTTTCATCCACACATTCAAACTATGCCCAGAATTTGCCATTTCT